GCACGGCCCCACTCATGCCTGGCAGTGGTGCTGTCGGCTGGCGCATCTCAGTTCTCCTCCACGTGGCCTCTCATTCTCTGGGGCCTCTCTTGCCCTGTGGTCTCTCAGGCAGAATTGCCTGGACTTCCTCACATGGCCATTGTCTGCCGAGAGTGACTCAGAAGCTGCAAGGTCTCTCGAGGCCCAGACCCACAAGTCACAGAGCATTGCTTCCAACACGTTCCATTGGTCAAAGCAGGTCACAGGCCAGCCCAGGTTCAGGAGTGGGGAGGAATGGATGCCACCTCTTCCTGGGCAGAGTGGCAAAGTCATATTGCAAAAAGGTGTGTGGGATGCAAGAGAGTTGGAGGCCATCTTTGTAAACTCAAGCACCTACTATACCAGGCATTGCTCTAGGCCCTGGGAATACAAAGGTGAATAAAAGAGACTAAAACCCCTGCCGTCCAGGAGCTTTCATTCTGGTGCAGGAAGATGACAGGAAACAAGATAAGTAAAATATATATGTTAGATGATGATAAAGGCTAAAGAGAAAAATAAGTTGGGACAGGACGGGGAGTGGTGGGGAAGCTACAAGGTCAGGGAAGGCCTTAACGAGGAGAGACATGAGCAAAGGCTGGAAGAAAGTGTGGGATGAACGTTACCAGTAAAGGGAATAGCAGGTGCAAAGGCCCTGGGGTGAGGACGTGCTTGGGGTGGTCAGTGGGAAGTGAGCAGTGGGCGATCAGACCCAGAGAGGAGGTGGAGGATCCAGATGGCATAGGCCTGGGGAGGCCTCTAATAGATGTTTACTGACTGAGGTGGAGGACAGGGGAGACTTCTTAAAAAAAATTAAGATACAATTCATATAGCATAAAATTTATCATTTTAAAGTATACAATTCAGTGATTTTTAGTATATTCACTATGTTGTGCAGACATCACCATGACCTAATTCCAGAACATTTCCATCACCCAAAAAAGAAACCCCATAACCATTAGCAGCCATTCCCCGTTCCCCCTCCCCCTTTCTCTTGTGGGGAGACAACCACTAATATGCTTTCTGTCTCTGTCGAGTTGCCTCTTCTGGACATTTCACATAAAAGGAATCATGTAATCTGTGACCTTTTGTACCTGGCTTCTTTCACTCAGCATAGTGTTTTCAAGGATTATCCCTGTGGTAGCACGTATCAGGACTTCATTCCTTTTTATGGCCGAATAATATTCCCTTGCATGGACATACCACATTTTGTTTGTCCGTTCATCAGTTGATGGACATCGAGTTATTTCCACTTTGTGGCTGTTATGAATAATGTACAAGTTTTTATAAGAGCATATGTTTTCAATTCTTCTAGAAATATTGCTGGGTCGTAGGGTGACTGTTTAACCTTTTGAGGAACTGGCAGGCTATTCTCCAAAGCAGCTGTGCAATTTCACATTCCCAGCAGCAGCGGATGAGGGTTCCAGTTGGTCCACATCCTTGTCAACACTTGTGGTTTTCCATTTTTGTGACTGTAGCCATCTAGTGGCTGTGGAGTGGTACAGTGGAAGATTTTGAGCTGAGGAGGGCTTTGGTGTTAACACATCTTTCAGAGGAGTGGATTGAAGGAGAGCAAAAGAGGAAGGGGGGGAGCCCGTGAGCAGGCTACTGCAATGGTCCCAGCGAGAGAGGATGGTGCCTTGCCTCAGGGTGGTGGCAAGGGAGGTGGAGAGAAGTGGTCCGATTTGGGATACACTTTGAAGGCAGAACCAAGAGGATTTGTGTACAGGTTGGATGGAGCGGGGGTGAGAAAGAAAGACGAGTCAAGGATGCCTGCAGATATTTGGCCTGAACAACTGCACACTGCAGTTTCCTTTTGTTGAGCTGGAGGAGACCCTGGGGGAAGGTCTCTGTGTGTTTTCTTGTGCCGGTCACTTGGTGGGCAGAGGCGAGCCCCTTCCTGGTTTTTTGGCACGCCTGGCTGGGAAGCTTGGATTGGCACTTTGGGAGATGGGAGAGGATGTGGAAGAAGGCAGCGAATGCCATGATTACGTGTGTTGGAAAATGTCCACCCGCCATCCCCACCGGCCGGGCCCTGAATGGCACTGAAGTGAGCTGTTTGCTTCCTCTCCTTGGAGTGGAGCCATTTATACCTGGGGAGCTGCAGAGGACGGAGGGCGTTCATTCTGCTTCCGGGCTGGTTAGAAAGGCGTGTGGACCACAGCCTCAGGACTCGCGTTTCTGAGGCCACTTAGGGGATTATCTTGAAAGAAAATTGTCCCGGGAATGATTTGTGGGCACGGTGAGGGGCTGATCCCGAGCTCCTTCCTGTTGGTTGGGAATGTCTTAGGCTTGTTCTCTTAGCTGACCAGTCAGTCAGCAAATGCTTTCTTCCCTCCCTCCTGCTTTGGGGTGCCTCCCTAGGAACCGGGAGGTGAGGGGAGGAGAGAGACCATAGCCGACAGGCAGCAATCAAGGGGACGCATTTCCCTCCTCCCCAAAGAGCATCTTGGTGCTTGCAAACTTCAGCTCTGGCGTCAGACTGCTCAGGGTCACACTCTGGCTCTTGTATTTCTTAGCTGTGTGACCTTGAGTGAGTGACTTCAACTCTGCTCCTCTGTTTCTCAATCCATAAAAAGGGGGAAATTATAGCACCTGCCTTATAGAGTTCTGTGAGAATCAAATCAGATACTCCATATCTAGTGGTTAGCCATTGTCTTTATTATCTAGTGAGAAAAGTGCACAAGGCGACCATTTATTAGGCACCTACTGTATGTCAGCACTCTTTAAATGATTTGCCACGTTTATTATGTCAGGTTAACCTAACAATCCTGCCAAATGGGTGTGGAGGTTCCTGTCACAAGTGCGCCAACCGAAATGCAGAAGTTAAGCCCTTGGGTTAAGGTCACGGGGCTGGCAGAAGAGAAAATGGGATTTGAACCCAGGACTGAGCATGCCAGGATAGGCTGAGATGCGCTTCCCATGGGCAAAGGGCTCCAGGCACGTCTTGGGAGGGAGGGAGCCCTTCCAGCTGGGGCGTGGCTCTCGTGTCCCTCCTGCAGGGGGACCTCCCTAAGCATGTTTGGACTGGGGTCCCGGCTGTCTACGCCCGTGCTCTGCAGCATCTCCATCACCCGTCTGTGCCCCCTCCCATCTCTCTTGCTTTCCTCTGGATCAGAAGGAGCAACCCACCCTCCCCTCTCCCACCTCAGTAGCCTCTCGGCTCCTGCTTTCTCAGTGTGTTAAGGACATTTTTTACCACGATTTTACTTTCTGGGGGTAGGGGGACTTCCTGTGTGTTTCCCAGGCCCCCCTCTGCTGTGGTCCCCTTCTCTGGTCCAGCCTCCTCCATTCAGGCACAGAAATAGGCCCAGCCGTGAGCTGAAGGTTCCAGAGTTTAAAATTGCAACTTGGTACAGAGTTTAAAATTGCAACTTGGTACTATTTATACTCCAGCCGGAAAGATGTTTTTTGCTCAGTCGTTTGTTTTGTTGTATTAGCGCCCGCTCACGCTGTGGGCAGCAGGCTCCGGCACTGTGTCAACATTTCTCGGGGACAAGTGGGGGGGGGAGCCCTTCAGGTGTAGGGGGCGGGTACCAGCCCTGCCCAAAATATCTGGTGTCGCCTCCCTGGAGCAGAACGCTGTGGCCTGCTAAGCCAGAGAAAGTGGTTCATGTTCTAGGAGAACTTTCCTCCTAGAGGCCTGATAAGTAAAAAAAAAAAAAAAAAACAAACAGGTATTTGATAAGTCATGAAAATGGTACGTACTTGACGGGGGAAAAGGTTCAAATTAATTTTCACATAGGTGATAAAGCGGGGATTGTAAACTGGCAGACTGTTTCGAGTTCATGTTTTGCTTGGCCCGTGAAGCATTAAAATTTTTTTTGAATTTGTGCCACTATTTAAAAATTGGGACATTTCTGATAAAGTTAGAATTTCTGGCTTCTCTTGAAAAATGGAAGGCTCTGGCAGCCCTGGCCCGTGTTTCCTGGTGGCTGCAGGTGGCTGGCTGCTCTAGACCTGGGCAAGCACCTCTCAGCTCTCCACGAGCCCCGGTGGCCCGCTTCTCTCGTGTGCGTTACTGCCAGGCCCTGATAATTTTAGAGTTTTGGACCCTTCAAAGGACGTAAAGCATTCAGGTCTCCCTTGTCAGACCCCATAATGGGAATGGGGCATTCCCATTATGCCCCAGGGTGAAGTAAGTAGGGTATCCAGACAAACTACAGGATGCCCAGTTAAATCTGAATTTCAGATAAGTGTAGTGTAAGTGTAGCCCCTAACTGTTAGCAGTGTGGTATATATCATTCCAGGCCTTTCTCTGCTGAACCAGGCATATTTTTGGTGTTGTTACAAGGATAGGTTTATATTCTTAATCTTCTGCTGTTTGCGTGTCTTCTCCGTGGTGTTTCTCAGTGTTGATAAGACACTGTGGGCTCAAACCTATGAGAGAATCCTGGCCCCACCACTTCCTAGCTGTATGCCCTTGAGCAGATTACCTCACCTCTCTGAGCCTCAGATTCCTCCTCTGAACAATGGGGATGATAAGGGTAGCTTTGTTTTTGTTTGTTTTTTTTTTGCCGAGGAAGATTGGCCCTGGGCTAACATCCATGCCCATCTTCCTCTACTTTTATATGGGATGCTGCCACAGCATGGCTTGACAAACGGTGCATCAGTGCGCACCCGGGGATCCGAACCTACAAACCCTCAGGCTGCCAAAGCCGAGTGTGAGAACTTAACCGCTTGTGCCACCGGGCTGGCCCCAGGGTAGCTTTGTTATCTCCTGTTAGTATGTATGTATCTCTTCTCTTTTGAGAGCTGCACAGTGCACAGAGTGGATGGACCACGGTGGCTCTAACCAGTCCTCCGTCCACCGGCATCAAGATGGCCATTTCCAGTGAGGCTATGAGAGGTGTTGAAAAGGGAAAGGAGCTCTAGAGGGAACGGGGCAGATAATCCTAAGATTTAGTTTGCTTTTAGGAAAAAAAGAGGGGCGTTTGTCTCCCTGGAAACCTCTCGCTAACCTCCAGGATGTCGTCTCTTTTCAGGCGAAGGAGGTGGAGGAGACCATCGAGGGGGTGCTCCTCAGGCTGGAGGAGTTTTGCAGCCTGACTGACATGGTGAGTGTCTGCTGGGAGGCGAGGATCCAGGCCCAGGCCAGCCTCCAGGCCCTCCCTGGAGTTTTCTGGGGAGGCCATCTTGGTGGTGAGTTAGCAACCAGAAGGAGTGGGGCGGCGGCCAGAGGTGGCAGGAGAAGCAGGGCTCTCGCCCCCTCCCCCTCCCTGTCGACGCCAAGGCTTCCTGAGGCGGCCATCTTGATAGCGCCCTTCCCCCGAGATGGTTTTATTCCACAGAGGAGCCGGGAGCGGGCCACCAGGTGGCACTCTCGGGCGCCGATGCGGGGAGCCGGTCAGCGGGGATGCTAAGACTGTATTTAACTTTCCTCGGCTCTGCGCAGTTCGCCAGGCAAACATGGAGACAGCCAGGAAATGGCTTCAGGCCTTCAGGCCTCTGAGAAGCCTCCTGGCCAGGCCGTCGCTGGTGGCGGGGTTGGGCACCGGCTTCCTTCCTGAATCCTTGTGCTCTCTCCGCTTTTGCCTCCTACCCTGTTTTGTTGGGTCAGATCCCCTTGGCTGGTGGGGAAGAGCGTGGAAGACTGTGCCTTAGGCCTGGAAGATGAGGTCTCCACTCTGAATCCTCCAGAAATCTCTAGATCCTTGTGTTCCCAGGATTGTTGCCAGCCAGCTGTGGGGCCCCCAGGAGCAATGATAGAATTTTCTGGAGGTGCCCAAGCTTATTAAAAGCAAACCAACAACCAGGGTTTGAGGCTTCTGCCTGGAGGCCCAAAGGGTAGAGCTCCATATTGTGACAAGGCCCTGCCTCTCCCTGGACGGAGGGAGGCCTGCCCGGTGGTGTAGATTTGTGTCCCTGTGAAGCAAGTGTCTGGACAGCCCACAGGAGTAACGGCAACGGTAGCATGTTTATTGAACACCTACTTTGTAGCAGGCACCATACAAAGTGTGTTTCCTGTAGCATCTTCTTTCCCCTTGAAGCAACCCAACACGATGGACACCAGGTCATCCCCGTGCATTCAGCAGACATTTGTGCACCTACCTGTGCCAGCCTCTGGGGCTCAGCAGGGAACGAGACAGAAACGTTCCCGCGAGGACCCATGTGTGTTTTTCTCTTGAGAGCCAATTTTTTAGTTCGGATGTGGGTCCAGGTGGGAGCCGGGTGACGAGACAGACTTGGAATGCCTGGATCGTCCTTTCTTCATCACCAAACGTCAGGTGCCCTCTCTGGGTCCCGTGGGGAGCCTGCGGACGCAGAGGCAGACCCCCAGTCTGTTGTGGGGGGCAATTTGTGCCCCAGTCGCTGTCATCCGGCATCGAAGGGCTGTCGTGAGGTGTGTTCAAGGTGCACAGGGGGGCTGCAGAGGTTTTGAAAAGGGAGAGAGGGTCTGGAAGGAACTGGGGGCTTAGTTTGCTTTAAAAAAAAAACCAGTGAAGAGCAGAGGCGTTAAATTCTGCCTGGGAAATTGGGAAGGCTTTGCAGAACAGGTGGTGATTACTTTGGAGCTTGAAGGAGGAACAGAAAGAATTCAACTGCTGGGGAGGGCGGGTGTCCAGGCCGAGGACCGGCCTGGGGGTTAGTGTGCTGGACACAGCGTGGACAGTGAGGGCCCACGGGCAGGGGGTGGATTTGGAAGATGGCGTGGACTGCTGATCCAGGGACATTTTTGTTCTCAAGTCCTAGCGCATCCTCCTCTTGTGAAAGGAGACCCACCAGCTGCCCGAGAGCAGAGCTTGGGGCAGGAGTCAGCCTGGATGGGCAGAGAGGGGCCCAGGCCACCCTTGCCTTGAAAACCGCCAAGGCTTTCCATGGTGGGAAGTTCCAAGATTGTAGGCAGCATTGAGAAGGTCATCTCCGAATGAGAAGGTCCTCTCCGAACTTGAAGCCCGGAGATGCACTTATGCAAAGATTTTAATACGAAAGTCACACACAGATGACCCGTGGGCCCAATCCTGCCTGCAGATATATTGGATGTTTCTGGGAACAAAAAAGGAATTAGCTGCTGACATTTATAGAATGTCATGCAAAAAAATCTGGAGTTCTGGCTTCTCTTGGAAAAGCAAAGATCTGGCCCCCCTTGGGTGCTCTTTCCCGCCTGACGGCATCAGCTGGGGCTGCACAGTGTCCACTCCCTGTGGACAGCACGTGTGCTCTCCAGCTTGTCACCGTCCCACTGCTCCCGGGGGAGCCTCCCCAGCTGCACAGCCACCCGCCAGGCACGTCCATCACGTGCTCGGGTGTTTTATGGTGGAGTACTTGGTACTTTGGGCCCCACTGAAAGGAGGCAAATAAACCAGACCAAGAGGGTCCCGTGTTTCAAGAAATGGAAGAGATTGCACTTCCCGTGGGAGTGAAGACTATTTCAGCGTTTATAAGCAAGGGAGCTGTCTGCATTGATAGAACGTGCCTAGTGCAATGCTTTTGTGGCCCCTGGAGGCATTTTGAGTGTGCAGCCCCAGCAGCAATGCTCTGTGCCGAGGCCATTTAGAACACGGAAATCCTCTTGGCCCCAGCAGCTGATGCGTAGCTTACCCAGGGTGTCTGCGCCCGAGTGTCGTGTGCTCCACGGCACAGAGAGGTGTCCCTGGCTTGGGACCTCTTTTCTCTTTTGATCCAAACTAGGGATGAGTGGGGACCCCCTGGGGGGCAGGTGGTGTCACATCGTGGACCACTGTCCGCAGGTCCCTGCCGTGGCCTTTGGAAACACCGATCAAGTTGGAGGTCCGAGAAAGGCCAGGCTCCCTGCTGCACGGTCCAGAGGGAAGCTGCTTCGTTTCTGATAAAATCAGCCTTCTAGAAATGAGAGTCCAGCCTCCTGTCTGATGCCTTAACTGCTCTGCCAGCCCGTGCTTGATCTCTCGCCGTGACTGGAATTCACTGCCCTGGGCCTGCGACCTGTTTTGACCTTAGATATAACGCCGGTTGCTGCCACTTCAAGCTCTGACTCTTCCCGCTGTGGGGCCTTGAGCACAGCGTGTCACCTCCGTGTACCTTTATTTTCTCCTCTGTAAAGTGGAGATAATGGTTCTGATTATCTGTTGCTGCATCAAACCCCCCCAAAAGGTAGTGGTGTAAAACAGCAACCAGTGTATTACGTGGGCCGGGGCAGGCCGCAGAGGTGCCACGTGGCACCTGCTGGGCCAGGGGTGTTCAGATGGCTCCTTCTCATGCTCGTCTCACATCTGGGCCGGGAGAGCTGGATAGCCGGGGACTCGTTGCATACCTCTCCTCCCTGCGGCCTCTCCTCGTGGCCAGCGTGGGCTTCCTCGGAGTGTGGTGGTCTGGCCTCCTGAAGCAAATGTCCAACAGGTGGGAAGTGGAAGCTGCCTAGTCTTTGGAGCTGTGCGTCTGGACGTTGACCCAGTGTCACTTCCCTCGTGTCTTATTGGTCAAAGCTGTCACAAGGCCCACCCAGATCCAAGGGGGAGAGGACATAGACCCCAGCTCTTCATGGAAGGAGGGTAAAGAGTTTGTGGCCAAGTTTAATCCACTGCAAATGGTGTCCATCTCCACAGAGTTGTAGTGACCAATAGATGAGGCAGGAACATGTGCTTTCCATCCACTGGAATGGCCCAAAGGAAAAAGCCAGGGGCCAGCCCAGCGGCGTAGCAGTTGAGTTTGCACACTCGGCTTTGGCAGCCCAGGGTTTGCCAGTTCAGATCCTGGGCACAGACCTACACACCACTCATCAAGCCGTGCTGGGGCGGCATCCCACATAGAAGAACTAGAAGGACGTGCACCTAGAATATACAACTAGGTACTGGGGCTGTGGGGGGAAAAGAGGAAAAAAAAAAGAGGAAGATTGGCAACAGATGTGAGCTCAGGGCCAATCTTCCTCAAAAAAAAGAAAAGAAAAAAAAGTGGTTTGGAAAAAGCTAGACAGTACCAAGTGTGGGCGAGGGTGAGGAGCATCTGAAACTCTTGTACCTTTGCTGTTGGGAACGCAGAAAGGTGGCCCGCTTTGGGAAACAGTTTGGCGGTTTCTTATAAAGTCAAATGTAGCTTACCCCACATCCCAGCAATTCTAATCCTAGGTAATTACCCAAGAGAAGTGAAAACAAGTGTCCACAGAGGCTCGGACACGAATGCTCATGGCGACTTTGTTCGTGATGCCCTGAACTGGAAACAGTCCAGATGTCCGTCAACAGTAGAAATGGGTAAATAAATTATTGTTTACTCACACACTGGAACACACAGCGGTAAAAGGAATGAACTACTCTACATGGCAACATGGATGACTCGCACAAACGTGATGTTGAGGAAAGAAGCCAGACACGAGAAGACGTTCTGTGTGGTTCCCTTAATACGAAGTTCGAAAATAGGCAACACCAGTCCACAGTGATGGAAGTCAGAGAGTGTTAGCTTTGGGAGGGTGGTCATGACCTGGAAGAGGCACGAGGGGGCCTTCTGGGGTGGTGGAATCTCTATACGGTGGTTAACACATATGTAAACACACATGTGAACTCATCCAACTGTCCACTTAAGGCCTGAGCACTTTACTGTGTGTCATTTACACTCAATTAAAAAATAATTGCTTCACACGGTGCCTGCTATGTATTAAATGACCCATAAGCAGTAGCTTCTGAGGTCACTGTCATCACCATGAGGCACCAGAGGGCCGTGACACCGATGAGGTTATCCACAGAACTGGATGGGTAAGGCCTCCCGGCTCAGTGCCCTCTGGGGTTTGGGCTGCTCGTCGGGACCTCAGAAGCCCCAGTGGCCTCGGGCCCACCTCTCGTGGCGCAGACTCTTCCTTCACTCACGTAAATGGAGAAAATTTCCTGTTGGCCTCGGCCCAGCAGTTGCATTTGGCTTTGGTGTGTGTTTTTGGGTCAGGTGCATTTGGCTCTCCTTCCTGGGGTCCCTGAATCACCCTGGACAGCCCTCCGTCTTTGCTCTGTGATGACCCCCCTACCCACTGCCCAGACTTCTGAGCTCCAGAGATCGGCTCTGGAAAGCGGGGAGAATAGGCTGGGGAAGGGTCTGCCAGCCCCCCAGGCCAAGAAACCTGGCTGGGGGTTCATCTTAGCAGAGGCTCTGAAAGCATCTGGTGTCATTCTCTGCTCTTCTCAGTTGTGTGTAGAAAGTGCAAACTCAGATGCCCGTGACTCGATGATGTGAAGGGGGTTGGGTGTGGGAAACAAAATGTGTCACTTTCCTTTGACTCCCCTATAAGAAGAAAAGTGCACAGAGTGGCCATGGACGCCATGTTGGGGAGACGCTAGGGGGTGGTGGGGACTGTGGTTAACCAAAGGGGGCAGCTGTCCCTTAGCTCTAGCTGATTGTTGCCAGGTGGAACAACAGGTCTTCTGATTTTTCACAAGAAGCCATAAATCTGGGTTTCCAAGGGAAATGTCCTTAATTTTAGGTCTTGGCACCTAACTTGGTTGTGATGTTGAGGTTTTTTTAGACGTGATGCAGGCTGGCTCTGCATAGGCCCGAGAGAACATGTCTGCAGACCTCTGGTGTTAGGGGGTGGCCTCAGACCAACCTGCTCTGGAATCCTCCATTTCCCCCTTTGTAGCTTTGTGACCTGGGGCCAGCTCGTTGAGTTGCTCTGTTTTTCTCAGTTTCATCACCTATAAAATGAGGTTGAAGATAAAGTAGTTTCTGCAACACGGGGTCTGTTCCCAGCACATGGCGAGCGCTCGTGGCATGTTGGTGTCAGGCTCCCCTTGACCTGGCCTGTGTTAGCACCCTGAAGTTTCCCCTTACGGTTCCCAGCCCACGGGGGAACCAAGAGAAAGGTTTGAGGGTCTTTCAGACCCCAAGGCTTACCCGCTACTCTCCCCCCGAGTGCTACCCTGCCTTCTGGGCAGGTGCGGAGAGCTCCCCACCGCCTACAATTTCAGCTCGTGGGGAAGTGTCTTCAGAGACACTTCCCACTCGGCCCACAGACCCTCTCGCTTCCTACAGGTCCTTCGGATTTAGAGGAAAGCAGGCGAGCGCTCCGTGTCTCTCCTCTCCGCAACCTTCCCTTCACTCCTGTAGGTTGCTAAGACTAGTCCCTCCTGATTCTCACTTGTTCTCGCCCTGTTTGTTTCTTTAGAAATTAACAGAAAGAAAAGATTTGCCTTTGATGCACTGTGTTCCGACCTTGCCATGAATTATCTGCTCTTTGTTGCATCAGAGCGATTTCTCCTGGGTTTAGCCTTGTTGAGAGATGGGTGTCTCTCCAGAAACTGGTCCTTGGGGAAACAAGGCAGGATATTGAGGACTTTTCCCTATCCATGCAGAGTAACAGATGCAGGTGCCTGCGGGAGCCGGGCAGGATCTGGACAGGGTGAGGCACTAGGGAGGGGTGGCGACTGTGGAAACTGGAGAGCTCCTGCCCCGTCTGGAGGAGCAGTGCTGCTCAGCCCGGCCTTCGGTGCCTGGGGAGGTGGAGACCCAGTGTTGCCAAAGCTGCTGACTTTTAAGAGAAGTTGTAAATCCATGCTTAATCACTTCAATATTTTTAAGCCATATTTATGTATTTTATTTTGGAATAGTTTTAGATTTGTAGAAAAATTGCAAAGATAGTTCAGAGAGTTCCCATACATCCCTCATCCAGTTTCCCCCATTGTTAATTACATCACCACGGTACCTTTGTCAAAACTAAGAAACCAACCTGGTACGTTGCCGCGCTCTGAACTGTCCCAGGATCCCATCTGAGATGCCCCACTGCATTAGGTCCTCGTGTCTCCTTAGGCTCCTGCAGTCTGTGACAGTTTCCTTCTTGTCTGGATTTTCATGACTTCGGCAGTTTTGAGGAGCTCTTGTCACGTATTTGGTAGAAGGTCCCTCGATTTGGGTTTGACTGATGTTTTCCTGAGGTCGGATGGGGTTATGGTTCTCTGGGGAGGATCCACAGAGGCAAGGAGCTTTCTGGTCACATCACGTCAGGGGCATGTGACACCCACGCGGCGTCACTGGGGTGTTGGTCTCCGTCAGGTTTCTCCACAGTGACGTTGCCATTTTCCCCTTTCCACGGCCTGTTTGATCATTTGTTCCTATCAGAATCGGGTATTTATTTTATAATTTGGGTTATAATCCAATACTGTGTTATTTATTTTCTTGTTCAGATTTTTCCAGTTTTGGCCATTTGGCTCTTTGGGGTTGGTTCCTGTGTTCCTTTGACATCCTCTATCCTTCGTTTTTTTTTTTTTTAAAACACTTCCTGGCACTACAAGATGCTCCAGGCTCATATTTTCCCGGCCCCAGCCCTAGAATCAGCCATTTCTCCTAGGAGCCCCAGTTTAATTTTAAAGTTGGAAATTAAGTCAAATTAAAAACTAAAACACTTTGTAGGCCACATCCAGCCATCAATGATCTTGTTGAATCCTCAGAGCATTCTTTTGAGAGAAACACTAGTATGATTCTCGCTTTACAGAAGAGGAAACTGAGGCACAGGGAGGTCAGAGTAGAGACTGGGGCCAGATGCCACCCTCTCAGGGCCGACCTTTGACCTCATGGGGTCAGGGCATGGGAAGGGAGTGTACCTCAGGACAGCAGGCTCAGAGCCAGGTGCCCAGGGAGGTGGCAGTGCCCTGACCAGAGGAGGGGAGCCGGGAGGGAGATACACAGGTGTTGGTGTTAGATATGCAGGGAATGGGGCGGCTTCTGAGAACCCAGGGCGAGGAGGGGAATGTCATCCTGAAGGGTGGTGGGAGCAGAATTCCAGGAGAACCACAAGAAGTTTCATGAACTTAGGCAGGAAGTGGAGGAAAAACAGGTAGAGTTTTCTTTTTTTTTTTTTTTTGTGAGGAAGATCAGCCCTGAGCTAACATCCATGCCAATCCTCCTCTTTTTCTTGCTGAGGAAGACTGGCCCTGGGCTAACATCTGTGCCCATCTTCCTCCACTTTTATATGGGATGCCGCCACAGCATGGCCTGACAAGCTGTGCATCGGTGTGCGCCCAGGATCTGAACCTGGGTCGCCAGCAGCGGAGCGTGCAAACTTAAACGCTACGCCACCGGGCTGGCCCCCAGAGTTTTCAAAAACGTTTTTAAAATTACAGTTTTGTGCTGAGTTGTCACCCTGTGTTGTTACTGCTGCATAACACATTATCCCCAAACTTAGTGACTTAAACAGTCTTTACTATTTGACGGGGTCTGTGAGTCAGGAAGCTAGGTGGGGACTGGCCGGGTCCTGTGGCTCAAGGTTGCCGTCCAGGTGTCGGCCAGGGCCGCAGTCATCACAGGGCTCGACTGGGGCAGGACTGCATCCAGGCCCGGTCAGTGGTGTGGGCAGGATCCGGTTCCTCACGGCTGTTGACTGGAGGCCACCCTCAGTTCCCAGCCACATGGGCCTCTCCACCACGGCCACTCGCTTCACCAAAGTTACCAACCAAGGGGGCACGTGAGAAAGAAGTCGCGGGGAGAGAGCGCCGGCAGGATGGAGTCTTCTGTACACTAGTCTCAGGAGTGACGTCTCTCGCTGTGGCTGGCTCCTCTTCATTAGAAGCGAGTGGCTAGGCCAGCCCACAGCCTGGGGGACAGAACACACAAGGGTGTGAATACCAGGGGGCGAGGGTCACTGGGGACCGGGTCAGAAGCTGCCTGCACATGCCGTGCCAAACACACACGCTCTGCTGAAGGTTCTTTCCTCCCAGCATTCCAAGGAGGCCAGGACCATCGTCGTTGCTGCACTGTCCAGATAAACCAACGAGGGCTCAGAGAGGTGTGGTGACTTGCCCGAGGTCACACAACTTGTGGTGGGGAGGGCTAAAATCAAACTCCAGTCTGAGCCCTGAGTCCAGCTCCTACTGTGCCCACTGGTGCTTCTCTGACTGTCCCCAGACCCCCCCTCCAGCATGGCCTTGGAGCTTAGCCGAAAACACAGATTCCCAGCCAACCCCATGCAAACTAAACCAGACATGGAGGGGCCTGGGAATCAGCATTTGACAGGTTTCCCTCGGGGGATTCAGATGCTCCCTAGACTCTGAGAGCAGTGTGCACACTGCGCCTCTGCACGGTGAGGACGTGATAATGTGGAAATGGAATCTCTCTCGCACACACTGAAGGGTTAGGCTTGGTCCTCAGCTCTGAAGGAGAACAGAGGCTTAAGTGTCCCATTTCAGTGATCAAGGGGAGGATGTGGCTTCATAAAGGTCATAGTTGCTTTTGGGGCCCTTCCAAGCAAAAGAAATTGAAAATTAAATGAGATGGTGCACGGAAAATGCTTAGTGCAGTGTCTGCCTGGAGGATGTACTTAGATACGTGAGAGCTGTGGTTTTCATTAACATTATTAATGAATATTCATGGTTATTATTAACTCGTTAGTATTATTAATTCTAGTGCAACGAAAACTCGACTTACCCCGACTTCAGTTTAGAAAAGAGATTTTGTTTTTTTTCCTTTGCTCCACTTCAGTGGTTTAGAAAACGAAGATATTTAGTTTGGGGCTGGTATTGTTGGGTATTGGGGGGGAACAATTAATTTGCGATTCGGTAAATAATACCTGGGTGGGTCTGGGTCCCGAGAGGCGGTGAGCTTGGTCCCCACCTGGGACTCTGGGTTGTTCCTGGGCCTGTCCCTGTGCCGGATGCTGCTCGGTGTCTCAGCCATCAGCGAGGTCTCTGCAGACCCTGGCTGACCCAAGGCAGGCGGGAGGACGCAGTGACAGGGCAGAGGGCCTGATGAAGTGTTTTGTTCCTTGCAGATCAGAAGCGACACATCCCAGATCTTGGAGGAAAACATCCCATTCCTTAAGGCCAAAGTGGCGGAAATGCGTGGCATCTACGCCAAAGTGGACCAGCTGGAGGTGTGTCCAGGATAATGAGCTTTCTTTGTGAGATCTGTGGACTAGTTCTGGCTCTTTCGTCCTCTCTTCCAAGATGCTGATCTGGCCTTGAGAGTGTTGAGTATTAGACCCAGTGCAGGGGGTGGTGACGAAAAAGGGTCTACACTTACATGGTATTTAAAAAAATATGACAAATCTGAATTTATGTAAAGTACCCTCTTGAAAAATCGAGATGCTTTATATAAAAATCTGAATTTTAAGCTGCTTTTTGAAATTCAGAAGCTTTGATAACCCTGGGCCGACATTTCTTTAAGTTCTTTAATCTGTGTATTTTTCAAGGTATGAATATGTAAAGTGCACACATCTTAAATGTACAATTCACTGAATTTTTACATATGTAAACTCCCATGTGAAGATGACCCAAATCGAGAAGTAGAAAATTTCCAACCCCGGGGCTGTATTCTTGTAGAGCTGGTGGCAGCTGCCCCTCAGATGAGACAGGTGCTCTCCTGCTCACCACACTCCCTACCATGCCCTATTGCCTCATTGATGACTTATCTCACTCATCTTTTACCCGGTGGGTGCCGGGCCAAGCTGCGTGGTATCTCATTTTTCTCCTTGCCACACTGCAAAGCCAGTGTCCCGTCTCCTAGAGGAGGAGCATAAACTCCGAGTGCTAAGTCACTTCCCTGAGGTCACACAGTCCCATGAAGCTGGGACTTCAGCTTGCCTTCACTGGAGCCCAAGTTCTTAATCACACTGGGGCCCTTGGCTTGGGATCCTGGCTCCTTGCATGGGGAAAGCCCCAGAGGCTGGGAGGAGCTCGTAATTTAATAGTGGTCACCTGGACAGAGGGGACTGGGCCCCTCCGAGCTGCAGATGAAGAGAGCGTGGCATTTGGCTCTGGAGTTAGCAGAGAATTAGCATTCTTGTCAGCAGAGAATGAGACAGGAATATAATTAAAACTTTGCCCTTGGAATAGCTGATTCATTTGAATTTTATTCCACACGTTTGAAAGAGGAAATAAAATGGGAAGGTCTGCAGCCCTGGCTCCTGCCTTGCTTGGCTGGCCCAGCTGTCAAGCCCAGTTCTTCCCTCAGCATTCAGTCCACTAACATTTGTTGAGGGCCTACTGTGTGCCACTGCCGGGCTCTCACAGTGAGAAAGACGGTCCAGGGCGATATTCCAGCAGGAGAGACATGACAGCAGATGTTACCGTGGTAGTTTCCTGTGGCTGCTGTAAGAAAGTACCACAAACGTGTGGGTTAAAACAACACGCATCTATTGTCTTACGGCTCCTGAGATCAGGAGTCCAGAATGCTTCTTACAGGTTAAAATTGAGTTGTCAGCAGAGCTGGTTCCTTCTGGAGGCTCTGGGGGAGAATCCCTGTCCTTGCCTGTTCCAGCTTCTGGAGGCTGCCTGCATTTCTCAGCTTGTGGCCTCTTCCTCCGTCTCAAAGCCCACAGCACAGCATCTTCCAGTCTCCTACTCTGACACTCCTGCTTCCCTCCTGTAAGGACCCAATGATTACGTTAGGCCCACCTGGGTAATGCAGGCTCATCTCCCCATTTCAGGATCCTTAATCACATCTGCAAAAAAAAAGGGTTTCTTTTGTCATGTAAGGTAACATATTCACAGGTTCCTGGGAGTGAGGATGTGGACATCTTTGGGGCCATTATTCTGTTGACCACAGTGACTGAGGGTGATTTAGGGGGAGGCGAGTGCCCAGGAGTGGAATCTACAGGCTCCTGGAGGATAAGTGGAAGGAGCGGTGTTGGGTGGGAGGTGTGGGCAGGGCACTGCTCAGATAGAGACTCAGAGGCAGGAAGGATCTTAACTCTGGAGCAGGAAGGAGATGAAGACACTGGAAAGATCCTGGGAGGCAGATTACAGGGACATGACCAGAGCGGGGCTGGAGAAATTGGGCAGTAGGAGCCCCATTGTCAAGGCTTTGTGATCCAAGGTCAGGATTTCGGCCTTTATCCTGAGGAATAGGAAGCCACTGAAGAGACAGGGTAGCCTAGTGGTTAGGGGTGTACGCTCTAGCATGGGGCAGCCCAGCCTTGGTCCTATTGATGCTTTAGGCCTGAAATTCTCTGTTGTGGGGCTGTCCTGTGGATCGTAGGATGTTTAGCAGCTTCCCTGGTCTCCACTCACGAGATGCCAGTGGCATCGCCCACCCCTGGTCCAGTTGTGACAAAACGGAATAAGAGTAGGGAGGGTCTTGAAGGCAAATCTTGCCAATATTTACTGGACAGACATCTGTTGAAGCCTCACTCTGGGCCACCCTGAGATGGGTGCTGGGGACACAGCTGGTGGGAGACTCCTGGTCTCCTGCTAGTAGCCTGTGGGGGGCACTGATGAGGAGGTGGGCTGGATGAGACAGCCTGGCTGTGTGAGCACCTGCCAAGAGGGTGGCTGACCAGACCTGGGACAGAGACATCTTCCTGGGGAATGACTCTTACACGAAGGCCTGAAAGAGGGAGGAGTGAGCCTGGGGAGGGAACAGCTTGTGCAAAGGCCCGGAGGCTGACAGAGCAAGGCCTCTCAGGCAGTTGTGGGTGGGTGTAGAGATCAGGTCAGAGGTGAGGCTGGAGCGCTGGGCACAGACTGACCTTGTAGGGCCAAGTCGTGGAGTTTGGACCCTGTTTTGCGAATGACAGGACCCATCAAAGGGATTACAGTTACTATATATTTTTTCCCCCTGAGAAAGTCCAAAATGATTCTGTTTGAAGTGTTCCACTCAGAGGTTCTTAGTATATTTACAAGGTTGTACAGTCATCATCACCACTGTCTAATTTCAGAACTTTTTTTTTTTTTTTTTTTAGGGAGGTTGGGCCTTGGGTTACCTTGGGCCATTCTTCTTTTTTTTGTTGGGGAGGCTTGGCCTTGGGTTACCTTCCTTGCCCTTTTTCTTCCCTTTTTTTTGGGTTGCGGCCCCGGCTTGGTTTGTCAGTTGTTGTTTGGTTGCCGGCTTGGGTTCGGACCGGGGGACCCTTGGGCGGCGGCGGCGGGGCTTGCCCCTTTACCCCTTTTTGCCCCCGGGCTGGCCCCAATTTCCGGACCTTTTTTTGCCCTTTTAATTGAACCCCCTTCCCCCCCCCAGCTCTTGGCAACCACTATTCTGTTTTCTGACTCTATGGATTTACCTATTCTGGACATTTCATATGAATGGAGTTGTACAAAATGTGGCCTGTCGTGTCTGGTTTATTTCACTTAGCATAATGTTTTCAAGGTTCATCCATTTTGCAGCACGTGTCAGAATTTCATTTCTTTTTATGGCTGAATAATATTCTATTGTATGGATGGATATACCGCATTTTGTTATCCATTCATCAGTTGATGGACATTTGGGTTGTTTCCACTTTTTGCCTATCATGAATAATGCTGCTGTGAATGCTCATGGTTTCTGTGGGGGTGTATGTCTTCATTTCTCTTGAGTAATCCCTAGGAGTGGAATTGCTGGGTCATACGGTAACTCTTTTTGGGAACTGCCAAACTATTTTCTAAAGTGACTACACCATTTTACACTTCCACCAGCAATTACTATAAGTTTTAGATGGAGATTACAAACTCAGATGCCAACAGGATCCAGGACTGTGCTGGCCAGGTGGGCTGGCATTAGAAGACCAACCCCAAGGACCCCTCGCGCATTACTTCCAACAACTATCCCCTTTGGTGGGGTACGAATCTGCAGCCTGCCACAGTCCCCACTCTGCCCCAGAGTCTCCCCAACATTGAGGCTGAGTGGCATTTGCCTTGTATCAATGCCCCAGGGCTGTTGCTTTCCTTAGAGTAGAGAGAGATTTCTCTGTAACTGGTCTCTATTAAAAGGAGGAAAAACTAAGCTAGTCCAAGAGGATCATGGATTCTGAGACCAATGGGAGAATACACGTTTCCCACTACGTGACGTTAGAACAATAAAACTAAGGACCTGACGAGAACCTAACGTTGTCCTGGGACAGATGGACTCCAGGGCCAGACAGCCTGGGTGTCAGATCTGCCCCTTGGGTAACTCTCTACCCTCTTAGAGTCTGTTTCCTCCTCTATAAACTGGGAATGCGCCGTCCGTCCCCCCAGAGTTGTCGGGAGGGTGTGGGGCTGGCGCCTGGCACGGTTGGGCACTCAGTGAGGACAAGCTGTCGTGGTGGTTGTTGCCCACAGGCCGAGAGGCAGACTGTCTGCATGGACGCTTGCCACTCTGCCCCGCCGGCCGGGGCCCCGGGGTGTCTGAAGTGCCAGGGGCTTCCGAGGAGCCCAAGACCACCCTGCTCTCAGTTCAGTGCTACCCCAGGTGGGGGCTTGGGATCCGTAGGGTGAGTTTTCAGGCTAGAACTTGGCCCTTTCTCAGTGTTAATAATAAAAACAAACATTTACTGAGCACCTGCTGTGAGCGGGGACTCTAAGTGCTGTACTCGGAAGAACCCAGTGCACCCTCACAGCTGCTCCAGGAGGAAGGTCCCCTCATTAGTCCCATTTTACAGAAAACGCAGCTGAGGCACAGAGCGGTGAAGCGATTTGCCCAAGGTCACACAGCTGGGAAGCGGTGGAGCTGGGTTGAAGTCTGTGCTCCTGGGCGCTCCTCAGTGCTGAATGCTGGCACTCCTGGCCCGGCGCTCCGACGCTGGGGGGCCTTTAGCCGGAAGTGTTCAAATACATAGTACTTACAAATGTTTTTTAAAACAATGGGGCTTTCCTCTCTCTTTCCTCCCTCCCTTCCTTCCCTCCTTCCTGATAATAAAAGTAACACATTTTCATTGTAGAGAAAAATATACAGAAGTCACCCATCCTCCCGACACCCAGCCCCCAGGTGGTTACGGTTGGCCGTTGCCCTCTTTCTGTGCCCCCAGCCCTCATCTGTGCGTGTGTGTGCGTGTGCGTGTGCGTGTGCGTGTGCGTGTGCGCGTGTGTGTGTGTGTGTGTGTGTGTGTGTGTGTTCCCATCTCCCTGGCCCGGGTTGCGGCCTCCCCCTGGCTGCGGCTTGGCCAGGGCCCTGGCGGGCAGGCATGCTGGAGGCAGCTCCGACCTCGTGAGCCGCATTCCTCCGCGTCGCCTCACACTCCCCACCAGCTTGGTAGTAACAGTAACGCAGGGAGCGGAAAATTGGAATCGGCTGGCGGCCGGGACTGCGGGACTTTCTTCTGTGTTTTACAACCAGATGTGCTGGCCGAGCGAGGCCTCAGAATGTGGAGGCGGAGCCCTGGTCAGGGGACACTGCCCAGCCCGGGGCTCCGTGTCCCCCACCGAGCCCCCCCAGCACACATCTGATGTGGCTTATTCAGCCTTTCAACTCTGCCCCTGCCAGAGCCTCGGGCAGCCACAGCACAACAATGCCGCCATCTTGGGTTCATCCAATGTCTTTTTGCTAAGGATGCATGCTTTCATTCATGCGTGCATTCATTCATTCATGCGTGCGTGCATGCATGCATTCGTGCATTTGCCATCCAGCTGAGCCCCTTCCAGCTGACCAGGCTCTGGTCTTGGCCTTGTGAAAACGCTGACTCAGCATCTGCTCCTTCAGAACTTACACTCTAGGGGGAGGTGGACCGTGAATAAGTAGACAAGAATTTCAGAGGGCAAGGAGAGCTAAGACAGCAGGGAAACTGGGTGGCTCCACAGTGACTCGGGGGCTGTGTTAGATCAGGTGGTCAGGGAAGGCCTTTCTGTGGAGGGGCCAGTCAATCCACAGCCTGAAGGACAAGCAGCGTTCACCCCATCAAGAACAGAGAGAAGGGCCCTGCTGGCATGGAGAGAGCTGGTGCAGAGGTCCTGTGGAGAGTGAGGCCTGCACTTTCAAGGAACTGAAGGGAGGCCAGTGCAGCTGGTATGTGGGGCAGAGATGGGGGAGGGCTCGATGGTGGTGGCCTTGCAGCCATGGAGGGACCATGGGTTTCATTCTAGTGAAGGGAGGCTCCCTCATGGAGCCCTGCACTGAGGTGTCCTCCTTCCTCTTCCTGGTGCAAGAAAATCTCTTCTGTTTTCCTATTGGAATGAGGGAGGCCCACAGAGGTGGGGCTGGTCTGAGACGGCACTGGAGTGGCTACCTTTGGCGGCCTTAGCCATGTACACACACAAACACGCACACACACTTAAATACATGCATGCAAACATGTGCATGTATAAACAGGCACACGCAGGCACGCATGTAAACGCAGATACACACGTGTACCGAGTGTAGAGAAAGGCGTGAAGAGATACACACCACAGGTCACAAATGAGTGGGTTGAGTTTTACCGGGCTTGCCCAGTGTCCTGTAAAATTGTGAATTTATTGCTAATCTTGATAAAAACTGGGACACTTTTCATAAAATCTGCCCTTTTCTTTCTTTTAAAATGATATTATCTGACATTTATTGAGCTCTAATACATGCTAAGCACTTAACTGCTTAGCAAGGTTGGTACTGTTATCATTCCCATTTTACAGATGAGGAAATCAAGGCTAATAGAAATTAAGTGACTTGCCGAAAGGCACACAACTGGTGAGTGGTAGAACCTGGATTCTAATCCAGAGTCTGACCCCGGAGCTCTCTTTTTTTTTTGAAACTGGAAGTTTTGCACAGAGGCCAGGAGCTCAGGGTCTCCTGTGGGCCTGGACCAGCATTCCCGTCACCCCCCTTAGCCCTCCTCACCTGCTTGTCACCTGCCTGCCCCTTGACAGCTTCTGAGTTTGAGACTCCCTGATATCCACCCACTGTTAAAGTGAGCATTTTGGCATTTTTAATAAAGAAGGCTTTGCAGTCTGAGGGATGTGCACCTGAGTCCCTTCGCTGCCCCTTCCTGGCTGTGTGAGTTTGGGCAGGTGACCCAACCTCTCTGAGCCTCAGTTTCCCTCTTCTGGGTCCCTGTGGGGAGAGGGTGAGAGGATGCAGGAGAGGCTCAGCCAGGCCCGGCCCCAGTGGGAGCTGTTACTGTGCTGTCAGGGTTTCTGAAGGTGCCCCGGCTCAGCAGGCCCTGCCTGGCCCCTCCAGGGTGAATGGGAGGCTGGGGGCGGTGGTGGAGGGGCTGGCGTCTCCGCCGAGGGAGCGCAGCCAGGACTGCTCCAGTCCGGGCGGATGCGGCATCCTGGCCCCTCTCTCCCCAGGCCTTCGTTAGGATGGTGGGGCGCCACGTCTCCCTCCTGGAAGCCCACGTGTTTCAGGCCGAGCGAGACCACGGGGCCTTCACGCAGACCCTGCGGAGGTGGCTGGGCTCCGCGGGGCTCCCCTCCTTCAGGAACGTGAGTATCTCCCCACTCCCGCCTCCTTGCAGAGCCCGCAGGGGGAGGGGGCTCAGGAAACGGGAGTTCAGAGGGCACAGCTCGCTCCTGCAGACAGGAAACGGTGTCTGGCCGCCAAGGGCGGCTGGCCCAGGTGGCTGGGTGTCTACGTCCCTCCCTCTGGTGCCTCTGCTTGCCTTGAGCTTCGAGCATCAGTGCTGTGACTGCTCACTTATTTATCCACCATTTATTGAGCGCCTGCTGTTTGCTGAGCACTGTGGTCCATCTGGGGTTACTGTCGGGAGCAGAAACAGCCCCTGCCCTCCTGTCCCATCCGTGCACACCTAGGGACATGCTCAAGGTGACATCCACAATTCAGGCCGTGTCCCCCTTCCCAAGGCGCAAGTCAGCCTTGAGCTGACCAGAGGGGCCGGGGATGGTGGAGGGGTGTCCAGCCTGCATGTGGCCCTTTGCGACTTGCAAAGGCCTCTCCCTACCATGCCTCTGCTTTCCTGGGACCCTCCCTGCGACGCCCTAAGGAAGAAAGGATCATTGTGTCCCTTTTACTGATGGAAAAACTGAGGCCAGACACGTCTGTCTTTCTAACTTACCGTCTGCTGATCCCCTGCTCCAGGGGACACCGGGCAATGTCTGGGGACATTTCGGTTGTCAGCTGGAGGTGAGGATGCTATTGGCATCTAGTGGGTAGAAACCAGGGATGCTGGTAAACATCATGTACCCTACAGTGTACAGGACAGTCCCCACAGCAGAGAATCATCTTGCTCTAAATGTCAGTGTGCTGACTTTAAGAAGCCCCGCCCCACGCCGTATTCCATAGTTATAATCCTGGTTTCCCTTAGGTCTGTTCTCAGGGCTTTACGTGTGGTTTGATGTGGCCTCTAATTCCACCCCAGTCTTGGGAGGAAGGTACTTTGTCATCCTCCCATATTACAGACAAGGGGACTGAGGCTCAGGGAGCTGAAGGGACTTGCCCCAGGCCACATAGCCTGGTATGACAGGGCTGGATTGGAGCCGCAGTGGGCCCGTCTCCTGGGCTTTGCCCGTCACAGGAAAGGTGTCTGCCTGGCTGGCCGCCCTGTCCTGCCCCCAGCAGGGTTTCTCACTGTTCCCTGGGCTCTGCCTGCGCGTCCCCGCTCTGTTCCCTCTGCCCCATGTCTCCACTTCGTGTTATCACAAAGTCTCGTTTGTTGAGTGTAGATGATGTGCCTGCACGGCCTTAGGCATTCGTTCCCCTTTCCCAGCCATCGTGTGTGTCTGGTATTAACATTCTGCCGGCCCGACAGGTGAGGAGATGGAAGTTTGGAAGGTTTCAGGGGTTGTAGTCTTGCAGCCCATTGGCAGAATTTGGCTCATGTGAGCTCATTCTGTTTGGCCAAGCAGTGTTATTTAAACAATGTGACTCAGGCTGCCTGGCTGGGCTTTCACTCGTCAGTCCCTGCCGGGACCCCACTGCTCCATCTCATCTTACACCCGCCCGAGGCATGTACTCACCTGCCTGCCTCCAGCTGAGTGACTTGCCCACGGCCAGTAACGGCTAGACAGTGGGCTCATAGATCTCATGGTCTAGAAACTCCTATTGATCCTTCAGAGTCCAAGTTAATGCCACCTCCTCTAAGAAGCCCTCTGAGATTGCCCCCTCTGCAGACAGAGGCACTCCCTCTGCCTTCCAGCAACAGAGAAGTCAGGAGCTGCTCCTTCTGTCCTCCTCTCCCTCTGGTTATGGTGACTGTTCCTGGGTGACCAGGAGACCCCAGTCACACAGTGCTCTGCCCACCGATGGCTTAGAAGCACACTGGGGAGGACGATTGGAGGACCGTGGCCGCCCGGGGCTGCCCGTGGCCTGCAGCAAGTGTTGCAACAGTGGGGCCTGCTGGGCCCTTGTCTCTGTACTTTAGGGTCTTTTTCTGGAATCTGCACGGTCGTCCCCGTGTGATCGGCGCTGGTGTCCCCATTTAGAGGCGGAGACCATGGCTTAGAGAGGGAGTCACGTATCTGAGGTCAGCACTGGGTTGGAACGCAGGCCCACGGGGCTCTGGAAGTGGGGTCCCCCGCCCACTCCTGCTGCGGGGTCCCCCGGGGTGTGGCCGGGCGTGCTGGTACTTGCATCCTCGTCTCTTCAGATGGGGCCCCCAGGCCTACCTGTGGTGACTTGTTCCAGGAAACGTGTCCCAGCTTGGGTGGTGAGTCATTCGGCCACCCTGGCATGTTGATCTTGGTCCCGGGAGGGCTTTGTCTGGGGTAGACGGGCGGGGGAGTGTGCGTACACATGTGTGCAGACCCAGGGTTTCCAGGGTGCGAGCTGGAGGGGCCCTTCTAGAATAATGGTCGTCACAGCTTGTGTTGGGGCCTGACTGCAGGCACCTCACGTCCACCTTGTGAGGCGGGTCTGGTCCTTGTCCCTATTTTACAGATGAGGAAACTGAGGCAGCGAGGGGTCGAATTGCTTGCCACCCAGAAAGCGGTGGGGCTGGGAGCCGACCCTGCGAGGCCTGGGCGCAGAGCCGGCGTGCTGCACCACCTGGCCACCAGCGTCTCTCAGTGCCCAGTGCCACCCCTGGAATGCCGTCTGGGGCGGGTCCAGGCAGAACACCCGATGGTTCTGTTCCTTCCATCGGGGTTTCCCCTAAAGCCAGGATCTCACGCTGTGTGGAGTCAGTTCCCTCAGTGCCTGCCGGGGTGGACACTCTGCTCAGGGACCGCTGCCGTCGCCTAAGTCCACACCGGGCCCTGCTCCGTCCCTCAGGGAGAAGCCTCTCCCACACCCCCGGATTCCACCTCCTGCCCCGCCGGCCCCCCCGGCCTCCGAGGGTCCCATGGAGGGGCAGCTGGTGTGGGCAGGGCTCTTGGGCCTCGCTGGGCCCCATGGGGATGCTGGCTAGGGGTCCTGTCCCTGTGGGGTGAGCCACACTGCTCCCCTGGGAGCTCAGCTCCCAAAGGAAAGAGGCCGCCCATCGCGGCCCCGCATGGCCGTCCTGGCATCAGGGGTGGAGTGGGGACCCCCTCAGGGGGCCCGGGAGGGAGGGTCCTCAGCCTTCACCCCTGGAGCTGGGCGGGGGCCTTTTGGGGTGTGTTTTCCACCTTCCCTGCTATTCCATCAGCTGGAACAGGAGTTCCTCGGCGGGGGCAGGGGAGAAAACGCATCCTTGTTTTTTCTAACTTTGGCAGCCCCGCCTTCCCTCCTCGCCTCCTTCCTGCCTGTCTTCTGGTCTTCACTTTGCAGATGAAGTGGGGAGGCCCAGGGAAGTGGGGGCAGCTGGGCCAGGGTCTCCCAGCCCCCCAGGAGTGGGGCCGGGAAGAAGTCTCCCCACCCTCTGCCCCAGGTCCAGGGACCCAGACCCGCCCCTGCCCATGTGACTTGGTGCCAGCCGTGGCGTGGGCTGGCCCCGGGATGCCGTGGAGGAGGAGGCCTGGGGACGCTGGGGAACCTGGGGTACCATGTCGTAATGAGCTCCTCCTGAAGCCCAGGCCTCTACCTCTGACTTGAGCTGCCTGAGACTGGCGCGGTCATCTGCAGACAGGGCCAGCCTGGCGCCCAGGCACAAAAATGTACGCGTTTTCATGCTACAGTGTACATTTTCATGGTGCAAAGGTCCATATTTTCCTGCTGTCCTACGTAAAAGTTTTTGATTATACTTTTACATTGATTCTTACACTGTTCCAAGATTTAACTAAGAACTGTAGCTCTCTTTCACTGTAGCTAAACCCCGTCTCTGGCATGTGTTAGCTGTGACTGGGCAAATCACTTAGCCTCTGTAAGCCTCTGATGGCTTAGCTGTTGTTAGCTGACGTGGGCACAACCATGGAAGGCTCTGCTTGCTAGAAAACTGGTTTGGATTTGATGCAAAATGATGAAGACCTCCATTAAAGCAGTGGGAATAAAAAGGAGGAGAAAGACTCCAGAACCCTCAGAAGCAGGTCTGAAGAGCCAGCTTTGCCTGCAAATCATGGAGTGGTCCAGGACGGATTGCCCAATCACTCAGAGCTGAGCAAGTATCGTGGTGGTGGTGACATAGAGCCAGCTGTGTGGGGCCAGACACTGTTCTCAGCTTGTCAGCACCCCACGAGGGAGGTGCTGTTTTTATCTCCATTTTACAGATGAGCAAACTGAGGCACAGAGAGGTTAAGTAACTTACCCAAGGTCACATAGCTGGGCATCAGGATATAAACTCTCTTAACTCTATCCCACAGTGCCTTGGAAGAGAACTGTGATCTCTCCCCTCAGGAAGCTTGTATCTAGTGGGAGAATACAGACAGTGACCAAATCCTAAGAAAATTCCAGATAGTCATTTCTAAAGGGGGCCTGGCTTGCCCTGAGGGCGTCAGGGATGGCCTCCGAGGAAGTGCCTTACGAGGAAGCGCCATGTAAGCCGAGAGCTGGGTGATGGGGAAGAGCAGTCTGAAGCCGGGAGAAAGGGTGCCCCCAGCAGAGGGACCTGCAGGCACAGAGGCTGTGAGGCGGGAGGGCTGGCGCTTGAGGACTAGCAGGCAGCCCAGCAGGGGCTGGCCTTGTGAGCTGGGGGAGAGTGGAGGGAGACGGGTCAGGGCCCGATTGGCAGTTGAGCACCCCTCTGAGGGCAGTGGGGAGCCATGGAGGGTTCGTGGCAGGGGAGTGACTTGGTCAGTTTGCTTCGCTTGGAGCATCTCCTGGTGTCTGGCCCAGAGACCCTCCCGAGGGGCGGCCCCGCACATCTGGATTCCGGTGCAGGCGGGTGCGGAAGCGAAAGTGGGGATGGAGCGGAGTCGCACAGCCCGCGGGCCTGGGGGGGACGTGGGGACCCCATTGGCTGTCCCGTGTTACAGCCTGGTGGCCACCCTGGGTGTTCTGCCGACCGCGCCAGGCCCTCCCCGTGGCGCCTGTGCCCGGAGGTGTGGAGCAGCCTCGCTAATTCGTTGTAAACCGCTGTTTGTTTTCTGCCGAGCCAAAACATCTTGTTCACGAGGTGTCATTTTGATTAATTTTCCGATGGATGGGAGGCTGGTGCTTTCCAAGGAGGGCCCTT